CACTTAATCCAACATTGTACATGAAGTCTAGCCAGGAAAATTAGGCAATAAAAAGAAACCAAAGTCATTCAAATTGGAAAAGAAGAGGTAAAACTGTCTCAGTTTACAGGTGGCATGATGCTGTACATAGAAAATCCCCCCACAAAACGGAGTTTAGCAAGTTCAGCAAGGTTCAAACTACCACGTCATTTAAAAAAAAAAAAAAAAAAAGGCTGGGTGTAGTGTCTCACGCCTGTAATTCCAGCACTCTGGGAGGCTGAGTTGGGCGAATCATGAGGTTAGGAGTTTGAGACCAGCCTGGCCAACATAGTGAAACCCATCTCTACCAAAAACACACAAAAAAATTAGCCAGGCATGGTGGCAGGCGTCTGTAATCTCAGCTACTTGGGAGGCTGAGGCAAGGAGAATCGCTTGAACCTGGGAGGTGGAGGTTCCAGTGAGCTGAGATCACACCACTGCACTCCAGTCCTGGTAACAGTGTGAGACTTCATCTAAAAAAAAAAAGAAGTTGTATTGCTATACACTAGCAGTGAACAATGTGTATGAACATGAAAGTTTGAAAACAGTTCTGTTTACAGTAGCATCAAAAATAATATAACACTTAGGAATAAATATAAATGTATAAGACTTGTATTCTGTAAATTACAAAATGTTGCTGAAAGAAATTACATGGAAAGACATGTTCATGGATCAGAAAACTTTAAATTGTTAGCGTGACATTACTTTCCAAATTGATATGCTGATTCAGCACATTTTCTACCAAAATCCCAAATGACTGCAAGATTCACAAGCTGGTCCTAAAATTCATATGAAAATTTAAGAGACTTGAAATAGTCTATATCTTGTAAAAGAAGAATAAATTGGGAGGATTTACACTTTACCAGTTTTAAAACTTACTACAGACTACATTGGTCAGCTTAATGTGAAGCTGCCATGAGGGTAGATATAAATAGTGGAGTAGAATTGAGTGTCCAGCAGTAAAATGTATGGCCAGTGACTTTTGACAAGCATTCCAAAACAGTTCTTTGGGGGAAAGAATTGTTTTTTCACCAAAAGGTGCTGGAACTGATTATCCACATGCAGGAGAATGAGATTGGACCCTTCCTCACACCATACACAAATTAACTTGACGTGCATCCCAGATCTAAAGCCCTAAAACTATAAAACTCTTAGAAGAAAGCATAGGACTAAATCTTCATGACCAAGATTTTTAGGTATGACATCAAAAGCACAAGTGACCAAAAAAATATATTTAGAGTTCATTGAAATTAAAACTTGCGTGCTGCTAACAGTACCATCAGTACTATCAGTGAAGTAATTAGAAAACTCAAAGAATGAGAGAAAATATTCACAAATTATATATCTAATAATGGACTTGTTTCAGAGTATATCAAGAATTCTTAATGCTACAAGAAAATGGTAACTCAGTAAAAAAAGGGGAAGGATCTGAATAGACATTTTTCCAAAGAAGGTATAATGTGCCATGAAGCACATGAAAAGATGCTCAACATCGTTAGTCAATTAGGAAAACACAAACCTTAGACCGTGATATATACTACTTCTCATCTGCTAAAATGGGTTTAATCAAAAAGATAATAAGCGTTCATGAGTATGTGGAGAAGTCAGAATCCTTATACATTGTTGTTGGTAATGAGAATCCTTATACTCATTGTTGGGAATATAAATGATGTAGCTGCTTTGGAAAATGGTTTGGCCTTCCTCAAAATAGTTAACATATGATACAGAAATTCTACTAAGTTTATATGCAAGAGAAATAAAAATACATGGCCAAACAAAAACTTGAGCATGTAATAGCCAAAAAGTGGAAACAGCCGAAGTATTTGTCAACTAATGAATGGATAAATAAAATGAGATATATTCATACAATGGAATGTTATTTAACAGTAGAAAGGTAAAAAGTACTGATACATGCATCAACATGGATGAACCTTGAAAATATTATTCTAGGAGAAAGAAGTCAGTCATCACAAAACTACATATTATGTGATCACATTTATAGGAAATATTCAGGGTGGGCACATCTCTAGAGACAAAAAGTAGTATAGTGGTTGCCTAGGATTGGGAGCAAGTTGAGAAAAGTTGTAATTGAATGTTTATGAATATCGAATTTCCTTTTGGGGTGTGAAAATGTTCTAAAATTACATTGTGGTGATGGAGAGTCATAGCTGTGAACAGAAACCATTGAATTTTACATGTTAGATGGGTGAGGTGTTTACTATGTGAATTACGTCTCAATAAAAGTGTTTAAAACAAAACAGGTGTACCCAATTGATATAAATCAACTAAAAGTAATGTAAATATTTCAGCGTTCAGGCTGATACAGTTACTTGTTTGATTCAAGAAAGAACATGCAGCATTTGCCTACTGAATGCTAGGTTTCTCTGTGTTGCTTTAAATTAGAAGGCAGCCTGAATGGTTTTGTTTGTTAGTGATTTTGTTTGTTTGTTTTGAGTTTAGGAGTGGAGGTTTAATTGGTAGAGGAGAAGAGAAAGAGAAACAGCTTTCTCTATAGAGGAAGGAGTCTCTGAACGGTGTTAGTTTTTTTTTTTTTTTTTTTTCTCGGTGTTAGTTTTTAAGATGGAATTTCACTCTCGTTGCCCATGCTGCAGTACAGTGGCACAGTCTCAGCTCACCGCAACCTCCGCCTCCCGGGTTTGAGCGATTCTCTTGCCTCAGTCTCCCAAGTAGCTGGGATTACAGGCATGCGACACCATGCCTGGCTAATTTTGTGTTTTTAGTAGAGACAGGTTCTTCATTTTGGTCAGGCTGGTCTCAAACTCCCGACCTCAGGAGATCTGCTTGCCTCAGCCTCCCAAAGTGCTGGGATTACAGGTGTGAGCTACTGCACCCAGACAGCCTGAATGTTACTATGCCACATAATGCCTGATTTTTTAAAAAATCACTAAACAGTGAAATGATACCAAAGTATAATATAATTAAAGATTTTTTTTTTTTTTTGAGACGGAGTTTCGCTCTTGTTACCCAGGCTGGAGTGCAATGGCGCGATCTCGGCTCACCGCAACCTCCGCCTCCTGGGTTCAGGCAATTCTCCTGCCTCAGCCTCCTGAGTAGCTGGGATTATAGGCACGCGCCACCATGCCCAGCTAATTTTTTGTATTTTAAGTAGAGACGGGGTTTCACCATGTTGACCAGGTTGGTCTCGATCTCTCGACCTTGTGATCCACCCGCCTCGGCCTCCCAAAGTGCTGGGATTAAAGATTTTATTGGACTCAAATTGATGACAGTTCCTAATACATTTTAGATACTAAATCAGTATCAGAATTATTTTGTTACTCATTTTTTAAAACTAATGGTTTTTTAGTCTTTTATAAAAGATAATGTTAGTAAATACACCTATAATAAAGGTTCTCATGATTTATAAGGCAAAATATTTCATTTAATTTTTTTTACATTATATAGCAGACTTACTGTGCCTTACATAGCAGTGTTTAAGGATCATTATTTTAGTTTGAATATGCCAGTGAGTTCTTCATATTAACCTTTTTACAATATATACATAATTGATGCTGAATACAGATTTTGGTTGTGCTTTTAACATAATTCTTAGGATGGGAAGTCATAGAAAACTTGTTGCAAGTATCAGTGTGTATTTTTTAAACCTTTGAGAGAATCATTTGTGCATTATAACATGTCTTCAATATCTTGTTTAATTCCTTTCATTGTCCCAAGATATGTTCCATTTTGGTGTTCAGAGCACTTATATATGGAAATAAAGACATTAATTCATACATTAAGGTGATTTCAAATAAATTATATGTACTAGAACTTAAAGAATACTTAAATATGCTTTTAGCTTTTTAAAAAAATACTTTTATTTTCGGTTACTGTGAGATACGAGAGTGGAGGTAGGTGCGAAGTATTGTCAATTTGGTCCAGTGCTCCTGTGGTCTAGAATTATATGCTGGAAGTCTCAGGGATGAGTATAGTACAGCATATTGGAACTTTTTTGTCAGAGAAACTTTCTGATCTACTTTGTTTTTGGAGACAAAGTCTTGCTCTTGTCACCCGGGCTGGAGTGCAGTGGTGTGATCTAAGTGCAATCTCCACCTCCCAGGTTTAGGCAATTCTCATGCCTCAGCCTCCCAAGTAGCTGGAATTATAGGCATGCACCACCATGCCCAGCTAGTTTTTGTGTGTTTAGTAGAGACTGGGTTTTACCATATTGGCCAGGCTGGTCTCAAACTCCTGACTTCAAGTGATCCGTATGCCTCAGCCTCCCTAAGTGCTGGGGTTACAGGCATGAGCCACCTCACCCAGCCAGATCCACCATTTATATTGCGAAGGTGTTCAAACTTAAATACATTTTAACAAAAGATAATGCTATGCTTACACTTAGAACATGCAGTGCATTCAATTTCTCAACTCATTTTGCTGCTGTTACTTTTGACCAATTAATCAATTTTGTAACCCACTAAAGGTTTGAGAATCACAGTTTATAAAATAGTAATTTAGAGACAGAATTGTGAATTCAGATGTATTCTGAGTTTTTTTCCTAATGCCCCTTTAAAAGTGTTTCTGTTTTGTGTCTGGTGAAAAACAGATCTAGGAAGGCAAACATGATCCTCAAATGAGATTTGGAATTAAATTTTTTTTTTAAATTAAAGCATTCTTTCTGAATTGCCTGTGAAAGATAACTATGGTATAGTATAATAGAACCAATATATTTGTGTGCCCACAAGAAAATTATCCCTTTGGCAGTTAAAGTTTAGAGTTTATGCAAATTTTGAACAAAATGTATAGTCAAAAAACATGGATAAGATCTAGCTAAAGAATATGTTTACATTTATTTCGCTTTTATACTTTTTAAGAGATAAATTTTATACTGAAGTTTTTAAATGTTTTAATTGCATCAAATTAATTTGCCTTATTTACTGCTAACTTTGATTTCGTATCTATGCTTTTGATATTGAATGGGGAAAGATTTTTGCACAACTATTTCACCAAGTAAATTTTTGCAGGGACACTTAGTCGGTCTGGATGAACCAGCTTCGGGAGCTGGGCAAGAAGCTCTGCTTAAACAAGAGCAAGCAAAAATCATTCGATTCGAGAGACAAGCAGAAGAATTCCTCAATGCAGTCTTTTATAGAAAAGGTTGGTTTCAGTGAAGAATGATATTTAGCATCTGCTTGTCTTGTATTATTAATCTCCTTAATTTCAGTGTCATTTTAAAAGTTACTTTTAAATGTTTTTCTTCATTGATGATATAGTTTATATTGCTCTATATCCCTTGGGTCAAATTCCTATTGGAATTAAGGTTAAGGTTAGCACTTTTCTCCGCATTTAGGCTGTGATGTGATGGTGAGTTTTAATTAAATAGTTTAGAAAATTAGTATGAAATTCTAAAAATTTTAAGCCCTCAATAGCACTACATTTTTTTACACAGATTTTCTTATGGAGACCGTTACTGTTTTAATCACTGATAATAAAACCAACTGTGTGAATCTTTAGTAATTCCAGCCAGAAATTTCATTTGGAGAGAAAATATAGTTATAAAATTAGATTTGTGAGTGCTCTTTTCCTTGATACAGTCTTGTTTCTTAAAATTTTTATATTAAAATTAGGGAAACGATTATGTAGTAAAACTTTTCTCCCTAAATTTGAGTTGGCATTTAATAAGCTCAGCCTCCTGCACTTTTAAAATTTATCTTTATCCTTGAAACTTTGGTATATGTGGTTTATTTTACATTTCTTTTGAAATACAGAAAAGTTGTTTAATCATAGGCTCTTGAGGCTTATAAATCCTTCATAGAGGCATTCAGGTTTATTCTCTATTCACAAAGCAAAATAGCCATCAACCAGAACCTTCAGGAAATTTCCTTTCATGTTCCTTTCCAGTGAAGAGTCTTTACTTTTAAGAAATTATAGCCAGGCGCGGTGGCTCAAGCCTGTAATCCCAGCACTTTGGGAGGCCGAGGCGGGTGGATCACGAGGTCAAGAGATCGAGACCATCCTGGTCAACATGGTGAAACCCCGTCTCTACTAAAAATACAAAAAATTAGCTGGGCATGGTGGCATGTGCCTGTAATCCCAGCTACTCAGGAGGCTGAGGCAGGAGAATTGCCTGAACCCAGGAGGCAGAGGTTGCGGTGAGCCGAGATTATGCCATTGCACTCCAGCCTGGGTAACAAAAGTGAAATTCTGCCTCCAAAAAAAAAAAAAAAAGAAAGAAAAAGGAAATTCTAAATGGATTTATACTGCTTAGTTACGCTTTTCCTCCATTTCCAAGATGGTAGTTACTATGATGTGTTCTAAAGTTTTATACAAACTCTTGATAATCTTAAATATTCTTATTTAATCTTCAGCAGACTCAGTGATTCCATTTTCTTTAATAATTCTTCGTATGTTCTAGTTTACACCTCTCATTCCTCTGGGAATTCCCTCCTTCCCTTTGACATTGGTTAAAAGTCTGATAAGTGCTGGTTCTGTTGGGTTTCTTTATAGTTGGACACTAGCTGGGCTTCTGCTTAATTTGATCAGTATTTCCAAAAGGTGATGTGAGGTGTATGTAGTGTCATATAAAATTAAGAAATGCACAGAGATTGTTTTCTGTTCTACTTATTTTCCCCATTTTCTTTCACTAGATCTCTAGGTAGAATTAAATCATTTATTACATCCTTACTTCTCTATAAACACCCATGAGCACCTCCTGACCTAAATCTCCCAGCTGAGTCTCCTGTGTCTAATTATCCCTACAGATTGCTCAGAATTCCAAAATTATGTTCAAAATAATCGTTTTCTTAGTTGTATGAACACTTGATTGTTAAAAATCACATTTAAATATAAATAACTAATAGAGCAGTTCTATCAGTTTGCTTACCAAATTTATTTATTTATTTATTTATTTATTTATTTTGAGATGGCGTCTGTATCGCCTAGGTTGGAATGTAGTGGCACGATCTCAGCTCACTGCAACCCCCATCTCCAGGGCTCAAAGTATTCTTCTGCCTCAGTCTCCTGAGTAGTTGGGACTACAGGCACGTGCAACCACACCTGGCTAATTTTTGTATTTTTAGTAGAGACGGAATTTCACCATATTGGCCAGACTTGTCTCAAACTCCTGACCTTGTTATCTGCCTGCCTCGGCCTCCCACCACAGTGCTAAGATTACAGGCATGAGCCACCGTGCCTGGCCTCAAATAAAATATCTTTACAGCTCCTCTCCTGAAGGATATACACAGAGTCATTGATCTAATGTGTTGTCACAGCAAGCTTCATTATCTGAAAAGAGGACTTCCTCTCGGTAATTTACATGGAGGAACCACTTTTCATCCACTCTTTGCTTAGGGGGAATAAGGTCAGTCATGTAAGGACTCCTACAGAGAAATTCGGTATCAGTTTTCTACTAGTCCCATCCCTTTGTCATAGAGGAATAACTTTAAAGTTTTTATAAAAATTTTTTTTTTAAGAAATTAAACTTTTGGGTTATAACCTTTAGGGGAGGAATTATTACTTTGGAATTAGTCTCAGGATAGATTTCAAGAGACGGGAATGCTGAAATTCTAAGTTGAGTTTATTGGTTTTTATGTACAGGCATGGGATGCTCAGAGAAAGAACTATTGCTTTGGAATTTGGACATTTCCTTCCCCTTTATGTATTAATATTGCTATTTTTGGATATAATTCTCTTAAAACCATCTCCAAGATAGTAATTAGTACTCTTTAATACCAAAAATGTTTAGTCTCCAAGGACATGATGGGCACCTTAGTCTGAAGAGAATCATATTTTAATAAATAATTCAAATGCTTAGATTTAGTCCCTTGTTTCGAAGTATTGTAAATGGTATGTTTTAAATAATTAGTGTAAAGATTATGTATAGTTAAGTAGAATCAGAGATGGAATAAAAGTAGGCTTTTGTGATATGGAGTCAATTAATTTCACTGTAAGAACAATATACCATCTACAGATGTCATAATGGCATTTATTTTTAGCTCGCTTTGTCACTTGTATTTAAAAAATCTGTTAGATTTGCATTTTAAGATATACAGGTAGCTGTGATATAACATACTTTTCTGAGTTTTATTTTTGATCTGATTTGTTGCTTTTATTTGACTCAGTTGTGCTGTGTTCCCCTGGGTATGGATGTATTTGTAGATGTGTATTTTAAGTATGTCAAAGAATGAAATCTGTTCAAGAAACTTTAACAAAGTAGAGAAATTCAAATGGCAAAGATGTAATGGATAAACACTGTCTTGTCTCGTGACTGTTTCTTCATTCAATAAAGAGACAAGATACACTACAGACATTGAATGCTCCAAGGTAGTGGTCTGTGGTCCTTGTCCTGGTATCTTTGACTCTTCACAGAGCTCTTTAATTATATTTATAATATTACTTAAACACAGAGACATCTCATAAATTCATAAATTTTATTTTATATATGGAAATTTTTTATGTATTGTATGTTCTTCAACTATTAAGGGAGAAACAGTAAACTAATATTAAAACGAATTTATATGATAGTTTATGTGGAGATTTAGGTAGAAAAAAACAGGTCTTAACTGGAAAGTTAAATGATACTAAGAAAATTCAATAGAGATAGTTAAAAAGCAGTGTATGGATAAAACGTTTATTAAAACACTGGAGGAACCATTGTCATTAACTGTAGCAACTTCCGAACCTTACCTAGTTACATACCTTTATTTTTAAACCATGTGGAATACTTAGAGTCTCTATTTATAGAGAAGAAAGTTAGAGTTATAAATATTCCTTAGTATGACAGAAACATTATTATTAGGAGAGAGAGCCTCAAACTCCAGAAGATGAAATAAATATCACAACTTTGTGAGCATCTTCTGGTATTGAATATTGTCTTTTATTGGGGGAAAATGCCTGTTCTTAGGAGCCCTGTGAGGTTTTGATGGTGTAGTTGTTTGTTGGTTGTTTATTATGGAGATTTTAGATTTTAGTTAGTAATTAGAGTCAGTTTTTCTTTAACTTTCTAAATTAAACTCTTAAGTTCCTTACAGCTTGAAAATACTGTGGGTAAAGTTGTTTGCCTTCTATAGCTAATCTTTAAAAGACTAGGGAAACCTTGGTTTTCTGAGAACTGTCTTGGAAAGCCCCAAAAGTGTGGTGGGGAAGAAAGGTCACAGGTAAAACAGTAAAAGGGGAAAAAGTTTTAATTGAGGGTCTGTCACTAATCATCTATATAAATTTGTAGTGACCACTTACTCTTTTGATCGCATTTCCTTTTTTTTTTTTAAAGGACTGTTTCATGGTGATTGACCTATGTAGTATTCAACTAAATTGAATACACACTTTAGACAAGGCAAGATTAGCTATATAGAGATACACAGAGGTAAACACATTGCCCTAGTTTTATTTTTTTAAAAGGACTATTTCATGGTGATTGATTTGATTGACCTATTTAGTATTCAACTAAATTCAATACATACTTTAGACCCGGCAAGGTTAGGTATATAGAGGTACACAGAGAAAAAACACACAGTCACAGCTCTTGAGAAGCTTAGTCTTCCTGATTATTTGAGTATGATAATTATAGAAGCGTGATGATGATGTATTTATACAAGTCATTTTCCCTTCCATCCTAACCTTTTGCCCTTCAAAGTCTCTTCCAGTGCTAAAAGTTCTATGAGTTAATGAGTTCTTATGGTCAAAACTTCACATTAACTAGCAATTGATAATTCAGCTGTTTATTTCATTATTTCCCTAGCTATTGTTTTAGTTGTTGGCAGAGTTTATTTAAAGTACTCTTGGAAAATAGTTTGGTTTTTCTTAGGCTTTTGAGATTTAACGTTTAAACACCTAGCCCAGAGGTTCTAAGATTATGGTCCCCAGACCAGCAGCATCTTAGAACTTGTTAAAATGCCAGTTCTTGAGCCCACCCTAGAACTACTGAATCAGAAACACTGGGGAGAGAACCCAACAATCTGTTTTTGCAAGCCGTCAAGGTGCTTCTGATGAACATTAAAGTGTGAGAATGATTGCCGTAGCCTAAAATGGATCTTAAAATTAAGTATCTCCTTTTATAGTCTTCGTATGCTTTTAGTCTTTAAAGTAAATTAAGCACTCATGAACTCAGTAATGTATTCTTCAAATATTTAGGAGGAGGTGACTGAGGAAAAAATCTAGGGAAACTTGCTGTGATCTATAGATGTGTTAACGTGAGAGTAATTATTTCCTAAGAGAAGGGTTTTGAGATTTCTATATCAGGTAAGTGATTCTTGCCCATAAGATACCTATTTGTTATCCCTTTATTTAATTTCATAATCAATTATTATATGGGGGAAGATGCTTAGAATTATTTTAATGAAAATTTTATTTTTAAAAATCTATAACTCAAAAACTTAGTAAAAATATAAGTCAGAGGGGAAATACTATTTTAAAAATAACTGCATTTTAAGAAAAAAATGAAATTTTATGTTTACTTGAAAGCTGTCTTTTTTTAGTACATTGTCCCACTTTAAAAGTAAATAAATCTTTATTTACAGACAGTCCCTGGGTCTCCGACCCCAATATTCCCCTAGTGGCCCGTGAGATCATGCAGCGAATGATCCAACAATTTGCTGCTGAATATACCTCAAAAAATAGCTCTACTCAGGACCCCAGCCAGCCCAATAGCACAAAGAACCAAAGCCTGCCGAAAGCATCTCCAGTCACCACTTCTCCCACGGCTGCAACTACTCAGAACCCTGTGCTCAGCAAACTTCTCATGGCTGACCAAGACTCACCTCTGGACCTTACTGTCAGAAAGTCTCAGTCAGAACCTAGCGAACAAGGTATGGTTTGATGTCAAGGTCTCCTCTATCTTATCAGAGTACTTTAATTGGGGGAGAAAAAAAGGAACAAAAAGCGTTGTGGGCAAGTAGAGCATCAGCAGCAATAATAGTGTAAAAACTAATGTGATTCTTAAATTATTTCTTACTATGCAGTGATGGAGAAGTACAGCTCAAGTTGTTACAGCCTTATCTTCATGATCATGATTGATGTACCACCCAGAAAAGTCAGGTGGTTACAGTTGTCACTTATCTTTCAGTTGCTTGATATTTATATAAGCATTTTATATTTTCCAAAGTATTTTTATGTTTTTTAAAACTCCTATGAAAAAGTAAGTTTTCCTCTTACCTACAAATTTTCTAGGACTAGCACCTGTCTGAGAAATACACTTCTCCTTGTAGGTATAAATTACGTAGTCTGCAAATGAGATCGTAAGGAAAAACATGTATTTGAATTTTGAAAAATAAACTGCTAGGGTTACAAATAGAGAAAGGAGCAGAACATTCTTTAGGTTGTTAAGTATGTTCAGTGTTTTATAAATACAGAAACGCATACAGAAACACATATATCCACTGACTAACTTGAAAGTATTTCCAAAAGGGAATTTGTTGAAGACACTAAGTGATGAAGTTAAGAGGTTGTTTTGTTTAGAAAATGTTTCTTGAGACTCTGAAGTTAATTTTCTTCAGTAGGTATTCCTGTTGCTTTGTGATCTCATTTTACCTTCAATTTCACAAAAATTGAGGCAAGCATTTCAACTCAGTTAATATTTGAACCACCGCAATTAGTAAATCGGTGATGTTTATACTGAGATTTTATTGTCATAGAAATCTTGAGTATATAGCAAAGTTACGAGATGTGTGGATTTATTGGTGAGAAATACATGTTTATTTTGGAAAATAAATTTAATTCCTAAAGAACGTCTTTGAAACGAACTTTCTTTTGAGTAGTTTTTCTTTGCTTTTATCCTTTTCCTTTGTGGTGAACAGCGAACAAAATACCTGAGTTCTAAGAGATTTCTTGACAGGAGACCTCCTATTTGTTTCTCATGTGCCTTTGGTTACTGTATTTACAAAGTTGTATCTTTTTTATTGATGACTTTTCTTTTCCACAAATTGGTAGTATTCATTAAAAATCTCTTCACTCTATTGCATCAGAAGCTTCAGTTTTATTTTGGGAGAATGGCAACATAGAATTATATTTAAAGTATTAATGTAGGTTTACATAAAATGATACCACTTAGTCTAATTTAACTTGTTTTAACTAGTGTTATACTTCATTTGAGCTACATGATAGCATTATAGTATGCAGACTTCAAATGAAGTAAAAAAAAATTAAATTATATTTCCTTAATGAATGTGTTTTCAGCCCAAACCACAATATTTTTAGTGGTAGACCTAAAATATGTTGCCTGTTTGATTAGACAAATTGTCTATTTGGCTTGTCTTTAAATAATAGTGTTTTAAGCAGTACTTTTGCTTCTTAGATGTGTCTAATTGGGTTAGATGTCTAATGGGATAATTGGTTCTATAAACCTATAATTATATTTTTAGAAATATTAGTGACTCTAAAAGAGAAAACACTTATGAGTATGGGTTTTTTTTAGTTTACAAACTCAGTTGCCTGTTTATTTCTAGCAGCCTGAAATAAGGAGTCAAAATGTCTTCAGATACAAGTTGTAAGTAGGTTCTACCCTTGGGTGATTTTTAACATAACTAGATATCAAGACCTCTCTGCTGGTGGATCGAAAATTAGAGACATTGTGTATTATCTTCTTCTGTTAATTTTGGACAGAATAATAGACTTAAAAGATTTCTACATATTTCTATAAGGAGAAAAATGTCTTTGAGGGAAAAGGAAGTCTTCTAACTTTATGTATTAATAACATGAATTTGTGATTTGGTTTAGTTGCAGTAAAAAATGGTTGTACTTCCAGGCTCTCATCAGTATCAAGAGAGTTTCATTCTTCTTTCTTTAAACTTTCTTCACCAATTTTTAATGTCGTCTTAGTTCTTGCATTCATAAAATTCAACAATTGAATTTTGAATCTCTGCAAATATTTTTAAAAGACTGAATGCAAGTATACATTTTTTATAGATATGTGTAGAGAACTATTAGGACACACCCAAATTATAAATCATTAACAAGGGATTCGTCTTACAGACCATCGTGTTTAGTATATACATGTACTTTAACGACATAAACTTACATTTAAAAATAATTTTTGTATCTTATTTAAAATTTTCTACATCCAACTTATATGTACTTTTGGAGTTTCAGGTAGATTTAGTTCTTGAGGGATTTGGTTCTGTAGTTTGTATGCCATTGTAGAACATTAAATATTTCTATGCTTTGATCAAGGTAAATTTAGAAAATTGCATCTTAAAAATTTTGAGAACAGAGGACCTCATGCTATGTAAACTGCTATTTCTAGTATCTCACTATATCTTAACATCTTCAGTAACATGTTTTATCTTTTCTTTTGCCCCATTAATATTTAGCCCTTGCAGATATTAAGTATAACATGCCTTGCTATATTTATGTTGCTTCAGGATTGAATTGATTTTATAACTTAAATATATGACTCGCATATCTGCTTAGTTGAATAAGCCTACTGCTTTTTCATATTTAGCCTATTCAGTTGACATTTGCTCCAAGTTTTTAATGTCTTCAGGTGTTTTTTTGTTTCTCTGCAGACGGTGTACTTGATCTGTCCACTAAGAAAAGTCCATGTGCTGGCAGCACTTCCCTGAGCCACTCTCCAGGCTGCTCCAGTACTCAAGGGAACGGGTAAGGGAGAATATTTGTAGCCTTACACAGTTCAATATAGATAATTCATCAAAGGTTGATGTCAGTCTCCCTTTTAGGTTTTAAAAATTAACCCTTCTAAGTCATTTATAAATATGGACCATTGATTAAGTAAAAATATAATCTCTGCAATGTAAATTGGCTAGTACAGATGAATATTTGTCAGTTTAGTACAGACAGTAAATAATCATGAATATGGCAGAAATATTTCTTTGGACTTTTCGTTGTGGCATGTTTTGGAGTGTGAAACTCAAGTTAAATAATTCTGAAGTTTATATGTGAAGACAGTATTATGTGTGCTGAAGCTGTTGAATGAAAATTGAGCTCCAATACTTGGTATCTCTAGTGGGGTTCGTGTGTGTGCATGTTCATTTTTGTTTGTTTCTTTTGGGTTTGGTTTTGGTGGTTAATTTAAACTGTACTTTAACTCTGGCAGTTCAGAAAATGCAATTTTCTGAAAGACTGATTGTAGATGTTGATGCATAACCATCTTAGGCTACCAAGACATTATTACATGCTCAGTTTTCATAACTCTTAGGATACTAAAGTAAATTCTCTGACTACCTAATTTTATGGTATAAGAACCATCTTCTCCCTACGTGTATCTAATAACCAACTAGAAAAGTCAGGTTTTAATAAAGATACCTAGACACCATGTTGAAAAAGGATTTCTATAAAGCTGTGTGACAAAAATTAACTATCTTGATATGAAGAATAACTTGGTAAGTTTAAATTAGTTAATACTTAGACTTATTTAACTTTCAGATTGTCAATATGGGGAAGTTACTTAGATATTAAAGGAACAAGTGGATGCTAAGTGGACTGGCCTTTTCCAACTTACTGTTGACTACCTTCAAATCAAAGGATTCCTTTACAGACTTTTTATTAAAATCTCCCTTTATTTTCTCTAAAATTCCAAAACTTTTCGTTTGCAGAAAGTATTAATCTATTATGCATAGTTTACTAACCTTTTTCTTAACCCTTTCTTTTCACTATGGTTTATACTAGATATGTCAGCACGGTCCCAAATCTTTGGGTTCTATTTATATATCAAAAAACACTTGAGCTGGGCATGGTGGCTCACGTCTATAATCCCAGCACTTTGGGAGGCTGACTCAGGCAGATTACCTGAGGCCAGGAGTTCAAGACCAGCCTGGGCAACATGGCGAAACCCCATCTATACTAAAAATACAAAAATTGTCCAGGCATGGTGGTACACACCTGTAGTCCCAGCTACTCAGGAGGCTGAGGTAGGAGGATCACAGCTGCAGTGAGCCATGATCACAACACTGTACTCGAGCCTGGGTGACAAAGCGAGACCCTGTCTCCAAAACAAAAACAAAAAACAGTTGAGTTGTGTAATTAAGGAAATTAAGGACACATACAGGAGAAGTCCATGTGCAGTTTGCATAAACAAATCCCTTGCTTAAGATTCACTGTAAACTTGCGTACTAGGTTCATGTATTATATGGCTGAAGTTGCTGTGTTTATCCTTCTGAATGGAAAGTGTTTTCTACTGGTTTTGTTTTATGGAAGAAAAATGCACCAACAGGAATGCCCATCTTTTAGTTGAATATTCAGTGTTATCCTTACTGTGTTACTGATGATAGTAGATCCCCGTAGAGTTTTGTAGAACATAACTGGTTTATGATTTCTGCAAAGCCCCACTTTTGTGCCTAGATAATGTAATCATCCCCTTGGGTATGGTTTGCCAGATGTCAGCCTTTATATTGATAATCTTTCTCTATTGTGGAAGTCAAAACTTTACAGATTAACTTTGTCTAAGTAGTTGACTTTTCAAACATTATTTGAAAGCTGTCCACTTGAAATTTGAAAATAGGTGTTTGGTATTTCAAGAAGGGGAAGTCTTTTTTTTAAGCCAGAGAAAACTGCTAAAAAATGGTTTAGTTCCCTCTGACAATAATTACTTTGAGTAGAACTTAACGGGTAAATAAAGACTAATGTCTTTTAAGCTTGGATTATTTCAATGGAAAATCATATTATTCGTGTATCTATAACCAATAGTGTTTTTAAATGAAGAAGTGTGGTAAGTTATAATGCAGTGGGTCTTTTGGTTTGGTTTGTTTGGAATTTTTTTTTCCCCGTTGGGTCTGTTAGCCATATATATGTATTTTTTCCCCCAAGCAAAATAAGAAATGTTACTTGGAATTGTTTGATTTTTTGATGATGAATATCAACATGTTTGTGGGATAAATGAGGAATTATCTATGGGTTCCAATAATGTGTGTGGTTCCAGTTTTAAAACTAGTTGTCATGAATGTTGAATATATTGAATTAAAATAAATAATTTGGCTTACTCTTTTATTACTGTACTTGTTTAGTGGTAACGTCACATTGGTAACACAATTCTTTGTAGATCTATGGAGACTGATGATTACTTTGTAATTAATAATTAAGATGCTATTTTCAGACAGTTGCGCGAAACTTTTTCTCCGAAAATTTGTGAACCCAACCAGAGACCAGCTGACAGGTTTAATTTTTCTTTGCCCAAAAAGCTCCTGATTTTTTTCTTTTTTCTTTTTCCTTTTTTGTGAACAAGTTTTAAAACTAACTGCTGAGACCATTTTTTTTTAATTTTAGAGAAAAATAAATAAATAACACAAAGTGATGTTACCCAAGCAAGGCCTTCTAATAAAGGAGTGGTCCCCTCACCCATCCCTCCCTACCTGTGCAAGTCCTGCTCACATCAGTTTCCTTCCATCCAATTAGGCGACCTGGGAGACCCAGCCAGTACCGCCCAGACGGACTTCGGAGTGGTGATGGGGTACCTCCAAGAAGCTTACAGGATGGAACCAGGGAAGGTTTTGGACACTCCACATCACTCAAAGTTCCACTGGCTCGATCCCTGCAGATTAGTGAAGAACTACTGAGCAGAAACCAATTGTCCACAACTGCCAGCCTTGGGCCATCTGGATTACAGAATCATGGACAACACTTAATATTATCCAGGGAAGCCTCTTGGGCAAAACCACATTACGAGTTCAACCTCAGCCGTATGAAGTTCAGGGGAAATGGTGCACTCAGCAACATCAGTGACCTTCCTTTTCTTGCAGAAAACTCTGCCTTTCCAAAAATGGCACTTCAAGCAAAACAAGATGGAAAAAAGGATGTGAGCCATTCATCTCCTGTAGATTTAAAGATACCACAAGTTCGAGGAATGGATCTTTCTTGGGAGTCTCGCACTGGTGATCAGTACAGCTATAGCTCTTTGGTAATGGGTTCACAAACGGAGAGCGCGCTTAGTAAAAAATTAAGGGCTATTCTTCCAAAACAAAATAGAAAAAGCATGTTAGATGCTGGACCCGATTCTTGGGGCTCAGATGCTGAGCAGTCTACCTCTGGACAGCCATATCCCACATCGGATCAAGAAGGAGACCCTGGCTCCAAGCAGCCTCGGAAGAAAAGAGGGCGTTACAGACAGTACAACAGTGAGATACTGGAGGAAGCAATCTCAGTGGTTATGAGTGGAAAAATGAGTGTTTCCAAAGCTCAGAGTATTTATGGGATTCCCCACAGTACACTGGAGTACAAAGTAAAGGAGAGGCTGGGCACTTTGAAAAACCCTCCAAAGAAAAAGATGAAATTAATGAGGTCGGAGGGGCCAGATGTTTCTGTAAAGATTGAATTAGATCCCCAGGGAGAGGCAGCACAAAGTGCAAATGAATCAAAAAACGAGTAGGAATACTGTAGAGTGCCAATTACTGTACAAACTGGGTGAGCACTACTGCATCATTGTTCAGCTATCATTGTTTGCACGTAATTTCATTTACTGTGACACTTGTTTCTTTGCAGATTTGCATTGACTTGTGTGTACAGAGATGAAATGTGCATTCTGAATGTTGCTTATTTTAAATTTTTCATGTGCAGTATGGCTCGGAATATGTTTGGCCTTTTGCATGTTTCTCTACAAAAGAGAATTGAGTTACCTCACAGAGAACAGATACATGGAAGTGGACTCCTTGCCTGTAGAGCCTGCATGCTTTTCTTTTTGTTTGTTTGTTTTTTTCTAAGTTATATTTGTTTTTACTTTTTAAAAAAGAAGAGGAAAAAAAGCCCCCTTTTAGAAACCACGTCTGTCATACTGGGAGCTTTATCACTGCAAATTGGAAAGCCATCTTATAATACAAAATTATTCACATTTTTCATCTACGATTCACCTAGTTGAAGGATTAAACTAAAGAAAAACTAAGAAGAACAATGAACCTTTGAATTTGAGAAATTTGTTTATTCAGTGACATAATTATTGGGTCATATATTTATAGTTACATTTTATAATTTTCTTCTCACTATTCAATTTACTCAACAAATTAGCAAGCTATTAGTGCTCACCCAGAGGGGAAGGCGGTGAAAAATGTGCACACACTACCTTCAGAAATACTTCAGTTAATTACTTTGAACACTACCTTTGCTGTGATTTCATTTGAGATTTTCTAAGGGTAGAATTTGGTCTCACCAACAAGTGAGGATATAGCCTTATCTCATGGAGGACGAGCTCCGTATTTACTCAGGAGCAGTCAGGGTACATTACATAAAACAATGGAGGATGCCTCATTTTAGCAAACTAGATTTCTTTGTATTCTTCAGTCCTTTTACAGAATTGATGTGCTAACTGACTGAATATCATTGCAGCAACTAGATTAAGATATTCAAGATCTGTTTATTGGGGATGGGAGAAATAGGGAAAGAAATGTGTATAAGTAATTATGATACTGCAAAAGTGATGCTTAGATTTTACAGCCTCAGTAGTTTGCCCAGTATTCCACATTAATGAAGGATCCATGTTTGTGATGTGAGAAAAAACACAACCCCAAGGTAACCTGATATGATTAGCATGCATATCACTTCTAATAATAATTCAATCAGAAGTCAAGCTCATTAGAATTCCTTTGTTAACTAGTCTAAATACCAGTAGAAGGGTGGAAGAGGTTGTTTTTTTAAGTTTTTATTTAATTTTGTTTGTT